AGAGTGTCCTTGTCAGAAGGAGTACTGCATCTTATCCTAGTGCCTGGAAGTCTCAGAGGCCGGGGAGAGAACGAAAGGCCACACTGAGCCTGTGGCAAAGGCTCCCCGGATACCCAGAAGTCCCACCTCCTGGGAGGCATAGTCACTCGGACACCTGAACACTAGCCCCTGGTCCGCTGACCCCTCCCTACACCAGCCTTCCCTCCTAGATCCCCTGTGTGATATTCTGCAGCCATTCCTCCTGACCCTGTGGTGAACGCCAAGCTCCACAAGGCGTGGCCCCTGACTGCTCTCCAATCTCGTTCTGTGCTATAATGCCTCTCCACTGCAGCCTCCTTTCATTTCTGCCCAAACGCACCAAGCTCTTTCAGCTCCTGTCTTTGGCGCCTGCGGTTCCCTCAGTCTACAACACTGTTCCTCCACCCACCACCACTGCCAACACACTGTGTGCTGCCCCTCAGGCCTCAGCCAAAATGTGCCTGACCCAGAGAAGCCTGACTCTACCACACAAGGCCCCGCCCCGCCCACTGTTCTCTGTGCCTCTCTGCTGGCACTTCTCACAAGTGGGTATGATCATTTTGCTTGTGGTCTCCTTCCTGTTTGCTGGGGAGCACTGGGAGGGCAAGCCTCGTACGGAGCAGGTGCTTGGCTCATTTCTGTTCAAGGATAACCGGTGGAAGGCACACGACTTCCTGGGAGCTCGGGGCCCCTCTGAAACCTGCCGTGCATCCTCAGATGGATTCTGGCCTTTTCTGGGCCTTAGGACACACAGGGGGCTCTGCACAGGGGGCTCTGCTGTTTGGACAGCCTTTGAGCCATTTCTGAACATCCAAAGGGCACATCCCAGGTCCCAGGGCTGGGCTTGCAGGCTGACTTCACTAATCGGCTCTGAAACCATTTCTGGGTCTTGTTGCAAAAGGGATGCCCAGCTGGCCATCTGGACTCAGCTGCCCGGAGGAAGGAGGACCCACAGGCTGGTTCAGGCATGGGGCGGGGACCATGAGAATTTCTCCAGCGAGGGGGCCTGGCCCAGGCTTGGTGGCAGCTGGGCCACAGGGGAATGTGAGAGAGCCCCAGAGACCAAAGGCCTCATGTGGACTTCTTGTGCTCAAAGACCCTATCCGGAATTGGCAAAGTCCCCTCCTTAGCAATGGTGGCCATTGGCCCCTGTAACTTTGGCTCGACTGACTCCTGGGACCAGGAGAGGTCTGAGGGAGGAAGGGGGCTTTGTAAACCCTCAGCCCTGGGGCACTGAGAGGAGTCCAGAGTGGGTGAGAGATGGGCAGTATTTCCTTCTCCTGGCCCCCTGGCTGCAGGCACAAGGAGCCACTTGGATGAGGAGTTATTTGCCGGGGACCGGAAGTCCTGCATTCCAGGCTTCTGTATCTCCACTAACCTCAGGCAAGGCCCCTCCCTGCTGTACTCTTGGGGCCTCAGTTTCCAGGCTTGCACAGTTACATCCTTAGGGCCCTCTGGCCCTGACAGCCAAGATGACTGTGCTGATGCCTGGGGCTTATGTGCTGCTTCCTCATCTCCACTCCAGATGGGCTGGGGGGGTGGGGGACCTGAGGAGGGGCCGACAGCCCCAGAGCGTGGGAGAGCCAGATGTGGTGGCTGCTGGCCCTGCCTGCCTGAGTGCTGAGTGGGCCCAAGGGGAATTCTCCCACTCAGTCTCCCTTTCCGGATACCCCCCCCCTCCCTCGCCGCCCACCCCACTGTGCACTGCAGCTTCCGGCCAGGCAAGCGTGGGTGGGGGTCCTAAGAGGGGGTAGCTAGAGCCTGGCTCCCTCTTTCAGGGAAGAGCAAGGGGCTGAGACTCAGCAAACTTTTGAATTTTTCAGTTCCACTTGAGCACCACATGCATGTACTGAAAGAGCCGCCTCCACATGCATGTACTGAAAGAGCTGCCTCCACATGCATGTACTGAAAGAGCCGCCTCCACATGCATGTACTGAAAGAGCCCCAGTTGGCCAAGACAAGAGCCCAGGTTCCAGTCTGAGCCCTCGAAGACCATGCACACATCCCCGGGCCTCAGCGACCTTGGCTGCAAAATGAGCCTGTTGGAGAGCATCCTCTAGCCCTGAATCAACATTTGTCCTGTCTCCCCACTCTGCTCTAGGCCCAGCACAAAACACCTCGGGTCCACTTCTGCCTCTCAACCACATGTGAAGAGCTTGCATTCCTGACTACACAGTGGGAGAAATGGAAGTTCAGAAAGAATATCCTTAGTCCACGGCCACCCAGCAAGGGTTTGCCCAGGGCCACACAGAGCTGGGCTTGAAACTGCCAACCCCAGAGCCCAAATTCCTAACCCTTGAGCAGCAGCATCGCTGTGCAATGTGGGAGGGAGGCCCTGAGCCTCAAGACCCACAGGGCTTTGCTCCTGCCACAACCCCTCCTCATCCACTGCAGGCAGGAATCCCACCCTCCATCCTCTGCCCACCTATCCCAGCCCAGCATGCCCCAATGATTGTCCAAGACCACACACGCCCAGCACTGGGGCAAGTGGGAGATTGCTCACAGCATGCCCTGTTCTGGTAGATACCCCAGCATGTCAGTGCACAAGGGGAAACTGAGGCCCAGCAGAGGGTGGGCTCAGGCCAGGGGCACCCAGAGATTACATGCAGCTTGAAGGAGTGACAGTCATTATGTCAAGAACACCCCAGGCACTGTACGGATCCCATTAAGCACAGCACACCCCTATGGCACGTTTATGAGTTGGCTCGCCTATCATTGCCACTATGAGGAAACGGACAGCCAGGAGTTTTAGTGTCTTGCCCAAAGCCATGCAGCTTGGAAGTGGAGAGGCTGGAATTTGCACTTAGCTCTAGAACCTTCCCTCTTAATCCCCACCCTTCTAGCTCTACTACCCAGCCCTCAGGGAGTCCCTGCAGTGCTCCCACCTCTAACTCAGCCATGGGCAGCTGGGCAGCCTGGTGCCCACCAAGGGTTAATGGTGGTTGGGGCTAAGTGATTCCAGATGCACCAGCCGGACGGCTGGGCTGGCCGGAAACCGGCAGCTGCCAGGTTCCCCTGGGAGCCACCACCAGCCACCCCCGCCCCCTCTGCACTGCATCTCTGGCCCCCAGCTGGCCCCCTGTCCAAGGGGTCCCCATCCTCTTCTCCCTAGCCAGGGGCCAGCTCTAAGGAAAACAGCAGATACATAATCCCAAGGGCCTTCCAGCCTAGGAGCCTACTCCTGTTATGTACAGATGGGGAAACTGAGTCTTGGGTGGGGTGGGGACCAGGAACCCACCCTAGGCCACTCAATAAGTCAGTGACTGGTTTTCCTGATTCCATATCAGCTTTGGGGGGAACTAGAGGATTGCAAAGCCCCTTGCTCCCTCATACCTCTCCTGGTCCCAGGAGTCAAATCAAAGTTTCAGGGGCCAATGGCCAGCATTGCTAAGGAGGGGACTTTGCCAATTCCGGGTGGGGTCTTTGGGCACAAGAAGTCCACATGAGGCCTGAGCCTTTGGTCTCTGGGGCTCTCTCACATTCCCCTGTGGCCCAGCTGCCACCAAGCCTGGGCCAGGCCTCCTCTCTGGAGACATTCTCATGGTCCCCGCCCCATGCCTGAGCCAGCCTGTGGGCCCTCCTTCCTCCCAGCAGTCCAGATCAGGTGGCCAGCTGGGCATCCCTTTTGCAACAAGACCCAGAAATGGTTTCAGAGTCGATGAATGAAGTGGGCCTGCAGTCCCAGCTCCAGCATCCTCCCAGTGCCTGAATGAAGACCTGGGAGGGAGAGGGCAGCACAGCGGAAGGAACTCTAGGCCCACTGAGGCTCTTCCTGTGTGACCCAGAACCCCGTTCTTCCCGTCTCCGGGCCTCAGTTCCCCGTGTGCATAGGCGTGGGGGGCAGAGTTGGCACAGCTCAACTCCCGGAGCCCCCTTTAAAAAACCCTGGCATTGAAGGGCTAGGACTTGGACACCTTCTGAGCTGAGAAGGTAAATACAGAAAATGTGTGCAGACATGAAAGACCCACTCCCGGGGCCAGGAGCAGAGCCAAGCCTGGGTGGAAGGAGGGCCGGAGGCCATCTGATGGGTAACTCAGTGACAGGGAGACCGGAAGAGGCCAGCAGGGCACTGGCACGTGGGTATTGGATCGGCCTCAGAGGAGCTGTGTCCCTTTGATCATGTGACTCCTAAGATCCAGTTCAGCTGCTGTTCTGCGATTGCTGTGTGAATGCCGGCCACTCTTTCCCCTCCTTCGGGGCCTGCTTGCATCCCTCTGGGGTTCTGAGACGAGAGGAAGAAGCATGAAGGTCTGTCCTGGGGGGCCTGGGACAACTTGCTCTCCCTCTCTGTGCCTGGCTGTCCCTGGGCCTTGATTTCTCCTTCTGACATTGACAGATGATCTCCGAGAGTCTTTCAAGCCTCAGTTAGGTACTCTCTAAAGGCCCTTCTGGCTCCCTGCCTAGCTCCCCCTGCACTTTGTCCGCCTCCCCCACTGGCCTGATGGTCCCTCAGGTCCGGGCCCTTGTCTTCCTCACCAGCACAGAGCCTGGTGCTCAGTGGTACCTGTTTCAGGAAGGGATGCTGACCGAGTCAGCCATAGAGGCAATCAAAGCTCCCGTTACAGGCCCGTAAACGGAGCGACGGAGGAGCTTCTCCCCTGCCCCAGGTACCATGGCAAGGAGAGATGACAGTGGTTGACAGGCATCAGGCAAGTGGGGACCGGCCACTCTTCAATAAAGTGACTCAGCGGCTGGCTGGTCGGCGTGGGCTGCGGAATTTCTAAACATCCCCTCACATCCAGAGAGAGCTCGGGAGAAGGGAGGGAGCACAGGGGAAGAACAACAAGAAACTGAGGGGGAAAAGTGAAATTGAAAACAGACGCACGCGTCCGCCCTCCCCGCCCTGCCACCCCCCCTTCTCTCCGCTGACCAATCAGAGGCTGCCCTGCAGCCTTTCCCCCAAAGTGGGGGTGTGGGGGCAGGGAAGCCCACGGTGGAGTGAGCTCCTGGGGCTGCCAGCGGCACAGCAGTCCCTGCCCTCCGTCTGGGACCCCGGACGCTTTGAGCAGCTCAGAGTCCCAGAAGAGGAGCTCACTGAGGAAGAAGGAGCCCAGGCCCCTCCAAGCAGCTGCCGGACAGCAGCCTGGGCCCTGCGGCTAGCCCGGGCCAGCCAGACTCAGGGCGGCCCCTCCTGGAAGCTTGCTCCTCCTGAAGGATGCTTTGGGAGTGAGGTGAAGGCAGGCAGTTCCTCGCCCACCCCTGCAGCCCCCACCCACCTTCCCCCAGTCTCCGGCTTCTGCAGTGACCCTGTCTGTCCTCCTGCACAGCCGCTGGCCTTGTGCAGTCCTGCAGTATCTCCAGAGAAGGGGAGAAGGCAGTGAGGAGGGCTTCCTGGAGGGGGTGGCAGCCCAGAGCCTGGGACTCTGCTTACAGGAGAAGACATTCCCGCAGCAAGGTAAGTGCTGGGAGAGGGAGGACCCCGCCCCTTGCCCTGTCCCTTGTCCCAGCCCTCCTCAAAAAAATGAAAAATATGTTTAACAAAACCAGATGGGAGGAGGCCGGGTGGTAGAAGACAGCATCAGGGCTGAAAGAGCCACTTCTGGCCTTCCCTGGGCTTCTAGGTGGGAGTGGTCTCTGCCTCCCAAGTGTGCTGCCCCTCTCTCATCAAATGGACAGGCCCCAGGGGTTTCTGGGTGCTGAGACAGCACCCCCTGTCTATACGAGGTGGAGGTGGGGAGAGTCAGAAGGGGGGCAAGAGAAGAGACTTGGGGATGGCTTATAGAGGGGCCTTTAAAAGGGACGGGGGACCTAGGGGCCACAGCCCTGGCACCCAGGCCCCTGCCTTGTCCCCAAGAATCAGACTGGCTCTAGGCCAATCAGCCGCCTGGCAACCTCTGGGGATTTAAATGGATTTGCAAATTTTCCAGATTCCTAACATGGCCTTCCAAACCCCCAGTGGCTGGGAAAGTTTCAGAGTGAGTACCCCCTACCACTCACTCAGTGGCTGGCCCGGCCTAGCACTCTGGGGGCTGAGGCAAGGGGGCTGGGACCAGGTTGTTGGGTCTGGGGTCTCCTATGAAAATGGGGTAGGCCTGAGGAGCTCTTTCCCAGAGTCCCGGGCCATGGTTCAGGCTTCCTCGGCATCTCCCCGTTTCCGGGCTTGGCTCCTTCTCTGGTCTGTTCTAAAACATGAATTTGGTGATGGTACTCCCTTGCTCAAAACCCTCCTGTGGGTCCCCAGGCCCCGAGCACCCCAGTTTCTAGCAATGGCTGCCCTGGGCTAGTGTTCTAGGAGAATGACCTCAGGTAGCACCCACCAGAAGTTCCAGAGCCCTGACCTGCTTCCCTCCCCTCTGAGGTTCAGGGGGACACTGAGGTTCAGGGCAGCCACACAGGAAGGGGGCCAAGCTTGGAGCTGGGCTAGCTTTGCCCCACACTCCCCAGCTGCAGCGAGCCTGGCCCTTTTGTTCCTGCTGTCCAGTCTCAGGATTCCCAGAGGGATTGGCAGGGTCACGCCTGTGGACACATGCCCTCCCCGTTCTCCTGCCCACAGTCTCTTCCTCCATCCCTGTACCGTCCCTCCAAGGCCCCTCCCTCCTCCTTCCTCCCGCCTTCCTGGGCCAGTCTCGTCTCCTCTCTGGAGCGCCACATGCTGGGGTCCAGCTGGGCCGCTGGGCCTTCCCTGCCTGCTTGGGCTCCATGTATCCGCACAACTGAGAGAATCCAGGCCCCAGGCCTCCTCAGCTGGGCTCTGCCCCCACTGGCCCCACCCCCACCCCACTGGGTGAGCAGCACTGCTGAGAGAACCCAGCCCCCAGCCCCACCCCCTCCTTTATGTGCCTTCCAGGACGCCCAGCTCTCTGGACCACAGATGCCCCACTCCCACTGGGAGGGGCTCCTGCCCACCCCTGAGACCTCCAGCCCACAGGGGCCTCCAGCAGGAACGGTGGAGGTTCGGCAGCCCCGCAAGCAGGGACAGCCAGACCCTCAGCAATCTCAGACATGACAGTGCTGCTTGTCCCCCACCCCCCACCCCAGGCACAGAGCCCACACCTCACACGGCCTGACCCCCTCGCCACAGCTCTTGGGTCTCGGCGCTGGGATTCTTCTGATTTTACAGACGAGGAAACTGAGGCTAAGAGAGGCTAACTGACCTGTCCAGGGTGGCACAGCTAGTAGACTCAGTGTCTCAGTCCCCACCGCCTGACTCCACAGTCCTTACTGGTCAGAGGGGCCGCCCCTATCTTCCTACAGGGCTGCCCCCGGCTCTGGCATCTCCCCCACAGAGAGGGCAGGCAGCTCAGCATCAAGACCCGTCTGGCCCCGAGTCGGGAAGGAGACCATCTGGCCGGCATCCTCACTTCCTGCTTGACCGTGGTTATCAGGGGCCTCCCCCCTCGGGGCCGGCAGCGGTCCTGTGGGAAGAGGAGCTGGAACTGGTCAGTGCCCCAGATGTGTGGATTCAGTCAGGGCCCCGGCATTGACTCAGCTCCCTAGCCCCCACTGCACCCTCCTCAGGGCTGCTTCCTCGTCCAGGCAAACAGCCCCCCAAGCTTAGTGCCCACTGACGCTGGGCCAGCCGCTCAGCCGCGGTCCCCTCCTCTCTGCGTGGCGGCACTGACTCGTACTGGGCTCCGGGAAGTCACAGCACAGGACAGAACCAACCCCTGCCTTCGCATCGAGCCTGCCTCAGGGCCACCCTGAAGGGCAGTAGAACTGACCCTGGGGCTTTCCGAGACTCAGTGTTTATTGTAGTAGACAGTCTCGTCTCCTCTTTCTCCCCCAGAGTGGCAGGTGGGTTTGAACTGCTGGCCTGGTGGTTAGCAGTCCGGGCATAACACACTGTGCCACACTGACCAGGTCAGGTGCTGGTCACAGTGCTGCCGCTCCCGCCATCTGCTGCTAAACGGGGGCTGCTGCTCCCCCTCCCTCCTGCCCAGGAGCCCTGCACTGTGACAGTAACCTACCACGGGCTGTGCCCAGGGAAGGGACCCTGACTACTACTAGGTGCCATGTGAGGCCCACAGCCCGCGGGCTGGGTCTGAGGCCAGCTGCCCTCTGGGCTGAGGGAAAGGACTCCGAGTTTTGCTCAGGACAGATAGCTCGCTGTGATGGGGAGAGAAACAGGAAGGGGAGGGGCCCTGGACTCCCTCCCTGCTCAGAGCAGAGCCCTGTGGGGGGCACATCCTTGGAACAGGAGACCCCCTCTGCTCTGCCCCACAGCAGCCCCTTGCTGGGGGGAGCCGGGACAGAAGAGGTCTAGGGTGCCTCCCAGGGGCAGAGCTGGGAAGTGTGTGGGCAGGGTCACGGGCAGCCAATGCTGTGTATTGTCGCTATGCGGGGCCCACAAGATGTCCCCAGAGCATCCACCGCTCTGCTCCTTGGAGCACAGTACGTGGCTTACTGACACTTGTGGAGTGAAAGGAACCCTCTTTAACAGCCTCCAAGAGTACATGGACTCTCCTAGCTTTCCACATGAAGAAACGGCTCAGAGGTCAGGTCAGTGGCTCCAGGTCCCCCAGCCAGGAAGGGTTGGGGCTGGGATTTGCAGCCAGGTGTTTCTGCGTCCAGGCCAGGTGGGAGCTGGATGGCTCCCTGAGACCCAGTGAAAGCCCCCATCAGGCTGCTGGCTGTGGAGGGTGCTCTCAGGGATCTGGTGGGGGAGCATCCCCCATGTGAACACGGGCACTGCAGCCCCTCGCCCGGCCTCACTTCTCCCCGCAGTGAGGAGGCTGAAGCAAGCCCCTTCCAACCCGACAACAATTCCAGGATTCTGAGCCACGCAGGGCCAGGCTGGCAGCCGCACAAGCCCCGCTGTGTGCTCTGGATCATGCATATTTAACTGCACTGGGGAAGGGCTTTATCCCACCCTTTCCCTGCATACTGCAGACAGAGAACAGGATCAATGGCTGCTCATGGGAAGCATTCACCTGCATCAGAGTTGGCGATCTGCGCAGCCCCTCCCTCAGTGCACCCCACTGCTCAGGACACGAGCAGGGGTAGTGCCCACAGTGTCCCCAAGCCCACATTCCTGGGAGACTGGGGACGGAGGACCAGGGGACTGCCCCTGTTGGAGAGGGTCTGGGGGTGGTGTTCTACATCTTTGAACTGCCTGTGCTCTGACTTCAGTGAAGTGGAAGTTGGTAGAGGACGAAGCTGGTGTGACTCCACCGTTGACCAGTGACAGTGTCTTGTCACCCAACTTGGAGGGCTTGAAGCGAGCCCCCACTCAAAGCATCGAGCGGGGAGCCCACCCCACGCCCCTCCCAAGCCTCAGACCCAGAGCTTTCTGAATGCTGGGGCCCTGCCTCCCTGCGCCCCCTTTCAGATGCATGTTGAGAGCCCCAGCCCGAGAGAGTGCAGGAGATGGAAAATCAAAGTCTCTTGCTGTCACTGCATCACTGCTCTTTCTCCTCCTCTAGTTATGGGCTATTTGATGTCTCAGGTGCTCAAAACCTTTCATCTGCCAGAGCCCCGCTTCTCCGCCCAGTGATGGGGAGGGCTGTCGGATGGGAATGGAGTAGCAGAGCCGAGGAATTAGGACGTCCTAGAGATCAGAGACGTGGAGACCTTGGGGTTGCCTCCTTACATCCCCTTACGGCACAGTATGAGGTCCCTAGGGAAGAAGGTAGGAAACTCAGTCAGATGGCCTTGGGCTGCTGTGCTGGGACCTGGGCCACAGGCCTGGGGCTTCCTTGTGCCATGGAGAATGCTGGCACTTCACCATTTCCTTACCACTAGGGACCTGGCTCTGCCTCCGACCTTCTGGGCTCACCCCCAGGTCTCTGGGGAAGGGGTGGGAGCTGGGGTGTGGTCAGAGGACAGAGTGGAGCTAACGTGCAGTGGATGGCATCCTGAGCAGGGTGGCTAATCTCTGTACCAGGGAGCCTTGGATCAAGCCCCAGCTCCTCTCTGGCCACCGTGTCCGCTTCCATCAAGATGACCGGAGGTTCCGGCTAGCTCCACTCCTGGAAGAAGGACCCCCATGGGCTGTGACCCCACCAACCTCTCCACTCCTGAGGCATGAGCCGAGGGAGGGGCAGGTGATTTCCAGGATCAGCCACAGAGGGGACAGGACGCAGCTTTATAAATATGACAGGAAGCCCTGGCCCCTCCAAACCCAGGGTCCCTGCATTTGAGGATTAAGGGCCCAGTGGACCGTGGGAGACTGTGTCTTACCTCTGTTTATATCTGCAGTCTCCTGCCTGGCTACCTATGTGGCAACCAGCTGGATGAAGGGGAGGGTAGAGATGGGCGGGTAGATGGTGGACAGTTAGCCTCCCCTTTCAGCGCCCTGGCTTGGTCTAATGCTCTCTAGTCACCCTGTTGGAATCCTTAATACTCTTTGTAAACAAAGGGTCCTGCATTTTCATTTTGCAAATTTTCAAATTATGTGACTAGTTAGGGAAGGGCTTCATCCGTGAAACTGGCCTGGCTGCCTCCATGTCCCTGTCC